CTCCAAACACCTTTCTTTGTGAAATTTTATTATTCATTGACTTCCCCAAAACGGTCATTATCATCCTACCCATTGAAACTCGAAGTAGGTAATGCTTAAATCTTATCAATAATGTAACATTTGAGAAATAGGTTGTCTTCCCGTAGGGACGATATTTATTGAAAAAAAAAAAAGTAATAAAGTTGATGAACCTTTTTTTATATAACTGGAATGGCCAACAATCTGGCGGTGAGACATTATATCGTCACTTCTACGCACTTTCTAATTTACTGCCACATCCCAGCCTTTAACTGTAACCAATTTTCGAAACACAGAGAACTCTACCTCTCAAAGTATAGTAAACAAAACTTGCACTTTGGAGAATTAAATCTGTATTAATTTTTTTACATAGTTGGAATGGCAAACAAGCGGAGGGTCCACCTTATGATAAGAGGTGACCGTCGTCTATCGACATGATCAGCAGTAGCGCTGATCACATAATATATAACATGATATAGGGAGGGATATCATATTATCTTGATACCTTTGTTAGTCTAATTTAAAAGCTGTTTTGGCTGTATGGTGCAGGTTAGGGAGTGAAATTATAGGCATTAAATGGCATTTAAGTGGTATCTACATCTTAGTAGCATAACTGTAAGCATAGCGTAACTGATGTCACAGATGGTCATTTCTGATGTTCGTAGTATGCTATTCACGTATATAAACGAAGCTTACCGTTTATCGTCAGGTTGTTTGCCTTTCAAATTAAATAAAAAAACATAAAATCGTCCTGGTAATCCAATTAGTCGGCAACCCTGTTTGAGCATAAAACTACATATGCGTACAACTCGACAATTAGTGCTTGTGTACAGGCTACGCATCCGAGGAGTCTAATTCGAGTCTTACGGTAACTAATGAACGCTTGGCGGTCGCAAACTATATCACACTGATGTGATGTATAGCGGATATATTGCGTTGCATTGATTCAGTTAGCGAGTTGAGAACTCACAAGTTAGAAGCCTTTTGAATCATGGTTTCCGTAGTAATACATATATGTTGGTTTTGTACCTATATATTTGGCTAAATACAATCTACCATATATGCATGGTAATATTAGAATGCATCCTTTTCGTTTGAGGAGAAATCAGTGGGAGAATGTTATACTTAAAAATCCTATTATCTAATTATTAGTAAATTAGCTTTGAAGTTTTATATTTTGACCGTACCTAAAAATTATAATAATTTTAAAAATCAATAAGCACTGATATACTCTGTAACTTGTTTTATTTTATGGCAATGATGGTCTACGAAAACTCTTCAGGAATTAACCATTATGGCTTCCAGAAGCGACCACAAGGATGCAGATCAATTAAATGTTATCGTCCAATGGTGTCTCGCCGACTTATACAGTTGGGACAGGATGTTACCGATCAATCCATATTTTATGATTAAAAAAAATCCCACTTCTAGCTATGTATTTTTCCCCTGTAGACCTTGTTTATAAAAAAAACAATGTACAATTTTCCACCAAAAAATGACCAGTAATAAATAAAGTTATGCATGACGAGCATAAGCTAAAATAAAGTCCGTAGATTGATCATACCATCGTCTGTCGGGTCGGATAAAATTAGCAGCTGCAAGTCTTCTGAAGTCCATTAGGTTAATTATACCCAAGACTATATATAGAGGCGGCAGTTTATTATACCAGTTAATTACAATTGGCGACGTAAATTGGTTTTTTTATTTAGGAGGACATATTTTTTAACTGTACATAATGTAGGTACTCGTATATTAAAAAGTTATATCCGTGTTATAGCTAAATAATATAAATTCTAAGACTTGATGGATGTTGATTTTTTTATCGAGCACCGTAGCCTAGTTTACCAACTACCTCGATATATCTCAAATCTGGCGCCAAAAAGATATGTATCAACTTACATAAATCTGATAACCTTCCGATGATTTTAATCATAACGATAACAAAACAAGGATATCTAAAAAGCAATAGTAAGATTTAAATATACACAGCTAAATGTAGGTATATCATGTATACATCACAACATCGACAGTTGAAGATGTCTCTGACTGTCCCATTACATTACAGTCATTGTTTAGTCATATTTTCTTTAATTATTACACATTAGTGTCCTACGATGTATTAGTATAAATATAAAATCTGGAGAGGCATCTGGATCGTTTGAACATATTGTAATATGTTCATTTCAATACAGTTATAGATACTGCGGCTGGAGCCAAAAAAGCTGTCTGCAGTAAGCAGACGCTATAACCTACACGCTACTCGCTCTGGGAATGTTTGGTACATTATAATTCTATAAAGTATGTACGGAACAATATTTAGAAAATATTTGTATAGAGGTTCGAGTGCCACTTGCGTGAGTAAGACCTTATCAGTATTAGCTGTATAGTTGTCATTTTAATGTGTAGTATATAAAATACCTACTTTTATTTTCGTTAGCTGGTTCGCCATATTAATAGTAAAATATTCCATGGCAACTACTGGAAATTAATTGTACTATACCTAAAATTAGTGCAAATGTAATTGTCTACTACTACTACTACTAGGTGGTATACTACCCAGGGTAGTTTTCCCAGGGCTAGAAGTTGTGACAAAGGGGGTCTATCAAGAGCCTATACGCTCCAAGAAGAGTCAAGTCAACCAGGAATGATGCAGTGCGAACAATATGGTGACAAAATTTAATACGATTGAATGAACGATATTGTAGCACATGTAAATATTATTTTAATTATATAAAGATTATCTACTCTTTATTTTCTATAATCCTATCATCCTCTATATGGGTCGAAACGTAATGCAAATATAAAAAGCAATGAAACTTTTCTTTCTATCTGAAAACTCTGTACTGAGTAATAAATCTAAAAGGTATCTAGTGTTGCACGTAGTTTTCGAATCATTGAAACTTTGATAACACAAGCATTATTGATTGGTGTATTTTTAAATCTGTTATATGCTTCACTTGATGCACTCACTGTACTGTTCGAGTGATGTGTGCTATAATTGTGCCATTACCTCGTTAATTGCCATTAATTCCGGCAAGTATTTTCATTTTAGCACTTTTTTAGAGTAATACCTGTTAAATAACATACTTTCTTTGAACTTTGTATATGTTTTGATGTACTAAATTGTGGACATGGCTTTAATAGGATTTTTAGCTCAGAGCGCACAAATTTCAAATTTAGTATCAGTCAAAGGTGGATCACTTGTCAACTTAGAACGACTTAGAACTGTATAGGTCACCCTGACGTGGTACACTGCTAGCAATGTGGGCATTAATCTCCATAACAAACAATCCGCTTTCCTCCTCAAGAATAATTTTCTGTCATGAAAAATGCGGAATAATCTACTAAACATGCTTAACTTATATCGGATTGGACACGACAAAGCAATCGGGCGGATTTCGGCGGGCAACACATTATGGACTCTCCAGGGTCCTGAATAATAAATGCCGGCCCGCGATGGCCAAACACTCGACACTTAAATAAACGAATCAATTTATATAGTTCAGCGTATTCGGGGAACTATTTTGTAAATCAGCTTTAGGGAGCGCTTAAAGGGTTAACGTGCATGAACAAATTATGACTTTTCGCCTTCCAATTTATATTCTAACCTTTTGAATTCTTTGGTGTTAAGCAGCAATATAATTGTATTATTCATTTTTGAAGTTTCTGTCGTCTATAGACAGACCCGGGCATCAGGGATGTCACATAGAACATTATGGCGTATGTGATGTCCCCTGTGTTACTATTTCTGGGCTTTGTTGTGCTCTGTACTCTAAGATGTCTGTTATATTTCTCTTCACCGCAACAAATGTTGCAAAGTAAGTTACCAGTGGTAAAATTAAGTGACATGTAGGTAGCAGAAAGTAGATAGTCCCGCGTACGACTTTGTAGAAAGACTCCCTCCGGTAGAAATAATAATATAACTATTAAATATATCCATAATTTGTAACTACGAAAATATTTATCAAACTCTCAATTTCCTGATCAAATTGTGTTTTAAAGTAGACAATCGACCAGTATTTTTAAGGCATAAAGATTTGAATCGAGATATACTTCGATGTAATATATTACATCGCGTGATGTGAATAACATTATTGTAAGCTTAGGTATGAAGGCTGATAGGGATCAGTGGAAGAGGAAAACATACCTCGCCGATCTGACAAATGCAGGGCAATGATTATGTGCCATATCCTTTCGATATTAGATATCAGAAAGTAAATATCACATTATCATTACTGCAGCCTAGATTTCGCGCGAATTTGAATTATAATATAATGGGATTTAAACACAATCGATGTAAGCAATTAGATTGAATTTAATCTTGCATACATCTTGATGTAATTCATATCAGATCCAGATCATTTGGCAATTGTTTAATCATGTTTAATGTCAATAAAATAATCTGAAAATCGATAAGGTTTTAATAGGATAAGGCTTTATTTTGTTATGTTGCATTAATTGGATGGTCACTATAGAATATATATATGTATTTATATATATTATACCAGCTCACCATTGAACTAATTAAGTAATAAATAGATTGATTTTGCCTGAAGAACGTCTACTCGATCAGATTCCACGATGGATATGAAGGGACAGGCAGAAGTTATTTACTGAATAATTCCGGAAAAATTTAAGTATTGTTTTTAAACAGCTGTCTATATGAAAACGAAATTAATGGTTCGTTTGGTGTATATGTTCGCAGTATAGAAAACAATCTGACAGTTTATTAAATGAAAAGCGATAACCATTGCTATAGACATGAACTGCACCACCGACGCAACGTCACAAAATATATAATGATACAAAAAACGTTGCTGTTCCTGAGGGCTAAAGTTTATTATTAATTATTTAATATTACATACTTTTATAGCGTTAAATTCGCTACGTACCTGTAATTACCAAATAAAAGTAAATATAAGTTAAGTTGTCGGCTAACCCTTCTGTTCTGAAGTGTTTCAAGTATTCTATTTTTGTTTCAGCAACGGTCCGGTGGAGGGCGCGTACGGTCCGCAACACAGTCCGGTGTCGCGGTCGGACGCCTCCACCGAGGACGCAGAATTGTCGGCTGCTCTAGCGCACCAGCATCACTTAGCTATGCAGGTCAGTTGGAGATTTGATTAGTATACTATGCCTATAATATGGGTTGAATGAAACAGCCATAATTAGTCCACAAAAGTTTGCAGTGTAATACGACGGAATGCAAAGAGTAATTATGTGTATGAACGATCTAAAACAGATCGAAAATAAATAGCAGCTAGTTTTTCAGGTATGTTTATGTATGATTTGTGATATGGGAATGACCTTAGATATACAAATTACTTAGTAATTGGCCAAACCAGCATATTTGTTAATGAATAGAATTTATTATTTTCTCTTTGTCCATAATGTGTATTTAGTGTAATAATATGAAATGTATTTTACAACACATTTTACGGACATAAAGCGAAAATGAAACAATACCTTTGTAGGAAATAATACTTTTATTGTACTAACTACATTAATGTACAATATATTAACTGTATTTCTATGTAGTGGCGTAATTGTAAACAGTTGTAAGTGGTATACCTTTCTAAGAGCACATCATATTGATCAAAACAGGTTTTGCATTTGCATTTAAGCATGAAGCTTACAAAATTGTTTGTAAACTTCATGCTTAGTGCCTGCTACTAGCTACACTGGCCGTTATTTCACTAACTTTATGATTATTGTAATCAAGGAATACAAGGAATTATTGACTACAAAAACATGTTTAAGCCATCTGTATTAAGAATTAATGGAAAAATAAGTTTATATCGTAATTAATGTATACATACCTAGTCATAAATTCAGCGATGTTTTGTTTTCTGTGTGTTGTACTCGGTAACTTCAATAAAAATTGATCCAACTTTAATAATTCAAGTTACTATTAAACATTTAAACTTAAATGTATTATTCAAATGTTGCTATGACATAACTATGTCACAAGCGATTTTAGAGATTAGTCACATGTTGGTTTCAGATAAATTATTGCAGAAATATTATTTCTTTGTAACTATACACAAAGTTATTGTAACGTTATTGCTTAGAATAAGTTAAAAATTGCTTGATAATATCACTCTGTCCACACACTTCGATAAATGTGTGAGGTATCTGATCTGTTATTGTCTTTACTAATCATATAATACTAAATAAAACGTATATATTGTATAAGCTGTTGATTACCTAAATTTAAATAAAATAGTAATAGTAAAAAATAATAAATAAGTAGTAAATTGTAATAAAATGAATAGTAAAATAGTTGTTTTGGTACGACAATATTTTTTAACGTGCTAAAAATGTAAAATAATATTTTTTATAGGCTGGTGAATACCAAGTGGGGGGCGGTGTGGGGGTTGGGGTGGACGCTGACTACGGCCAGTACGTTTCCTCCCCTGCTACACATTATAACCATATGGGACACCTCACTATGGCGCCATCGCAGAAATATCCACATGTGAGTACGCTAGCTATTTGTTCATTCTTTTCTATTTTCTCTCTCTTTTCTCATAACCGACTGCAATTTGGATTGCATATGTCTGTAAATATTGTTCTTTTTGTATTATTAGTAAATTTCAACATTCAACAAAACATTTTATTTATATCATTTTTCCATACTAATATTATTGAGGGCGATAGAATTAATGTACATGTGAATGAATGTATATGTGAGATTATTGAAACAACGGATAAAAAATTGTAAACACCTATAATGAACAGTAACAGTGCAAATGTGACAATAAAATAAAATGTCAGTTTTAAAAAACTGTAAAAAAAGATATACAAATTTTGTTGCAAAAATATATGTATAAAAGTTTAACCAGTTTGCAACAATTATAAATGTGATAGTATGTCTGTCTGTTACCTTTTCACTTTGAGTGAAGATATATTGTATCGCGACGACGGATATAGTGCTAATAAGCAGACAAAGTTGCAAATAACGACTAGTTTATTAATAAGTCTCGGGCTCTGCTCGGAGTTTTTCTCCCAACTACGAAGGACTCGGCATTGTGAATCCACGGAATGCTAAGAAGTTCAACTCTATTTATGTTACTTATATAAATTGTCTCTTATAACGGAATAAAACATTCAGCAGACAATAAAATTGACTGATAGCGCGGACGTTATCATACTTCCATACGAACGCTCTAAAGTCAAGAAGTATTACAAACTCAGGTATATAATAATAAAAGTTTATGATTTCTGTGAATTTGTGTAGCCTTTATATGTCCTCAACTGAAGAATCCCATATGAGGTAGTCAGAGATGTCAAATATCCATGTTATGGTAAAAGTTATGCTTGCGTAATTTGTTATTGGTTTTGTTTCGTCGCTTGACAGTTAGAAAACATTAAATTGATACACAGTTCGAGTTAATATTCGATCGCTTGCATGATATGTTCTACTTTAAAGACTGAAATATTGCACTGAAGTTACTTATTCGACAAGTATTATAACTAAATCCTCAGGAAGGGTAATATAAAATTGCTTTTAACAATAAGGTCGACTTATAGTAATTATCCATGTTCTTTATTATGTTATTTATCTTTTCATTACTATTTTTTAAATATAAAGTGTAAGCGTCTAAGTGGATCGAGGACATCATTGTTTTTCATCCATTTTATTGTTTTTATCAATACGCGTAGTGGTTTTCAGTCCAGTTGAAATGATAAATCGATTTACAGGGTTACCATATTCTGTCAGCTAGATTGCCAATCCAGTTGCGTGAGACAATAGAAATAATTATTCATTCAAATAAACTTTATATAAGTAGTTTTTAATAGTCATATTTTTCTGATTCTACCACTCATTCGGAACGTAGATTCATCACAAGAATATGGATCAAGAAACTTGCGTGTTCTTTTAAATAAATCTTTTTCGATTTATTTAAAAGAGCAACACGCAAGATTCTTGAATTACATTTTTAAGAAATATGTGTACATTGTGACAAACTGCCAAATAGCAAAGTTGATATAATAAATGAATGATTACTTGATAGTCTAGTTATCAGAGCAGACCAGTCCCTAAATAATTGTTGTAGATCACAAAATTAATAAAATCTGTATTTTTGTTTCCAGGTAATGGATTCGGTGTCAGTGAGCGGTGGTGGAAGCTACGGGGGCGCGGGGGGTGCCGGCCATTATGGTACCTATGGCCATTATGGAGCCGCGGCGTACCAACCGCAGCCAACCTATATGGTCGAGCCTCACATGGTCGATGCTCCACCACAAGTTGCTGCCTATTTGGGACCGGTACGACAGTACTTTCTTTAATTTACAAATAATTAAGAACCGACAACTATTTTTAAATTACAACTAATTAAGAAAGCGATGCCGAGGTGGGTGTACAACTTCGCATTGTTGTCCAGTGACGTAGGTCTTTCTGTTATGCGTGTAATATTGAGGAAATCATGGGATCTTACCACGGTTTATTCGTTGCTATCGGGTTCTTGATATTGCAATCAAAATGTCGGAAATTCAATAACAATAATAAAACGTAGTAATATTCCCGTGATTTTATTAAGATTTTGTGTGAATAATGCTTACGTCGTATTAAAAACAGGGTAATCATATATTCAAAATACTGTAAGAAGTCACTAAATAATAGTAACTAAAATAAAAGAAACAGTATCAAATTCCGTTGCGTAGTTTGGAAGAAGGGGTGTAACAGATAGGTTAAAAGAGCGACTTTGCTCTATATTGTTATGTAAATTTCTAATTTTTGCATCTAATTTGCATAGCTGCTGTATAGGCCAAATATTAATTATGGTTAATTAATTTGCAGGAATATGGTGAAGGCGGAGGCAGTGCGTCACCCAGGAGTGCCTCTCCCGGGGCATTACCACAGCACAATTTGCATTTACAACAAAGGTGAGAATAAATATTTTTGTACTTATTGATTAGATTTTTCGATTTTTATGCATACATCTAAGTATATTAATTATTCAATTCTAAGTCATTTCAGCCACATTTTGTTAGTGCTAATATAAGTTTAAATGTGTATACGTCTCATATTTGTTAAATTATTTTTTGTTGTCTGTATTTGTAAATTTATTAGGATTATATAGGAAGTTATGATTTACGTAGGTACGACTCAGCATCGTTGGAGCAACTGGGACGGCATTATTGTGTGACGTCACCGCGCGGGGAGTACGCGGCCGACGGCTACGGTTACCAGCATTATCCAGCAGCGTACGACCCACCGCCGCATCAACCGCCACCGTTCAAGGTAATATCCCAATGTCCTAAGAAAACGTTATATTATTAAACACCTGTGTAGGAAATTATGCTAATGAATTATTGTATATATTATTTAAACATTACCTACCCTGACATATACAGTTTTCTTATCCTTCGGTACAAATAGTATCTCTGTTGGTTTGAAACTTTTCGTGATGAAATTTTTTAATAAAATTTTATATGAAAATAAATTGTACCACTACAAAGGATATATTTTTTATTTCCAAAAACAGGTCAAATCGCGGGTAAAAGCTAGTTAACAATACAGTACCTTATAGTACCCATAAAACATTAAAAAATAATATAGTAACTTGATTTCCACGTATGACTGCGTAGCCTACTTAGTATAAGCTAACGCTAGCTAATTATTTAAAAAAATAATTTACACTACATTACTAACATACGTCATATATGACTGACATCAATGATTTTATGTCAGTCATCTATGTAATTCAGTAATTTATAATCTGTATATTATAATGTGAAAGTATCGTATAACCAATAATTTTTATGTACAAATGTATTGTGATGTAATTAATAGACATTTTGTTTTACAGGATTCGCAAAATGGACTTAGTCTAGGCAGTGCTGGTGGCCAATCAATGTATGGTGATGAAGAGGAGTTGCAGAAGCAAATGGCGGGGATGGCTTTAGGTAGGTGCATACACGCTAATTAATATCTAGTTATATACTTTAGTGTAAAGTAGAACATCAAAAATATAATTATTAATTAATCAATCTTCTCAGGAAAGTTAGTCCTGATAATGTAGTCAGACGTAATTGTCTAATGTTTTGTGGGCGTACCATGATGTAACCAATTGTGGTTACATACATACAATTGTGGCTGTAAATATTCAAATTAAATAGATTTATATAATTTCAGCGAATCTATTTATATTTTATCTATTAAATTCGTAATTTTTGTTGGTGTCGGTGTATTCATCAGCAAAAAGTTTGTAATGAATATAAATTGACACATCATCATCATCATTATCATTGACATCATAAATTTACACAAATGGATTGAAATATAAATTTGGAATGTCTATCATTAAATCTACACTGACACCACTAGACCAGTCCTCAAATATAAAATATCCAATTGGTACGATGAACAATTTTGAAAATAAATCTGATTCCAATATTAATAAATATATTTGTAAAATAAAATAATATATATATTGTGTAATATTTTCCAGAGTCGTATGCAGTCCACGGCGTGGGAGTGGGCGTGGGCGTGGGCGGGCGCGACGACGGCGGTGGACTGCAGTGGCGAGATCCCAACCTGCCCGAAGTCATCGGCTTCCTGAACTCGCCGTCTGACGTCGTCAAGGCCAACGCGGCCGCCTATCTCCAGCACCTCACTTACATGGACGACCCCAACAAACAGAAGACCAGGAGTTTAGGTATTTACTCTTGTACAGATAACTGTACGTATGTATCGTTACAGAATCGTGCATAGGTTGTTCCTTTTAGGCCTTTTTAGGGTTAGACGAAAACTTTAAATGAAAACTATTTATTTTCTCTCTCGACAGATTATTCCAGGATTCCATTCTTTAACAATATATATTTCGTAGGTGGTATTCCGCCGCTAGTGCGGCTTGTGTCGCACGAGAACCCGGAGGTGTGTCGTAATGCGTGCGGAGCGCTCCGTAACTTGTCGTACGGACGACAGAACGACGAGAACAAGCGAGCCATCCGCGACGCGGGCGGTATCCCCGCACTCATGGCGCTGCTGTGTCGTGCGGCCGACATGGAGGTTAGTATACACCCTCGATATATATCAAGTAACTAATTAACTACCTTGTCGTACGACCAATGGAATGACGAGAACAAGCACGCATTATATGAAATGTACTTCAATGTATTTCAATACATTTATGTTACATGTTAATACTGTGTTTATAAAATTAATTTTAATTATTTATATATTTAGAATAGCAAATGAAAGCAATCCTTCGCCTATGTACATGAACACTGTCAATGTCCATACATCACGTTATCATATGAAATTCGTGATAGAACTCATGCGTTTTATAAATATGTTACTTGTATAATATACAAACTTATATATAAATATACTTTATCAGGTGAAAGAATTGGTGACTGGCGTTATATGGAACATGTCGTCGTGTGAAGATCTAAAACAGTCTATAATAAATGATGCAGCTCAAGTGATAGTCAACAAAGTCATCATACCACACTCCGGCTGGCATCCCACCAACCCTGGTGACACTTATTGGTCTACAGGTAACAAATTTATAAATTTGAAAATATTGCTTTATTTATGTGTATTCGTAGTGTTAAAAAATGTGGTTATATCGGATCGTAGAAATCATATCGTATCGTATCTTAATAAAAAAAAAATAATAAAAAAATGAAGCGAAAGAAGTAAAATGTAAAAGATGATACAGGACAAATTTTGTTGAAAGATGACGACATAAAAGCATGGAAGGGATATTTTAATAAACATGAATGAAGAAAATGTAGTGATGATGCTCTAAAAGATGTCTCAGTAAACATTGGTGTAGTGAATGAGATTAGTATGGATGAAGTAAGAAAAGCAGTGAAAAGTATGAAGAATGGGAAAGCAGTCGGGCCAGATGGTATACTAGTAGAAGTATGGAAATTATTAGGACATGATGGCTGCAGGTGGCTGGCTTTATTCTTTAATAAATTATTGTAAGAAGTGGCAATCCCTGAGGAATGGTGCAATAGTTCACTAGTGCCCATTTTTAAGAATAAGGTGATGTACAGTATTGCAATAATTAACGGGGAATAAAGCTAATGTCGCACAGTATGAAAGTATGGGAGAAAGTGATAGAGAAGCGATTGCGTGAAGAGACGGATATCACCCAAAACCAGTTTGGATTTATGCCAGGCCGAAGTACCACAGATGCCATATTTTCACTGCGTCAGCTGTGTGAAAAATACAGACATGCTCACAAGAACTTGCACATGGTGTTTGTCGACCTGGAAAAGGCGTACGATAAAGTACCCCGACCGGTTTTGTAGTGGGCCTTGAAAGATAGAGGAGTGCCAGTACACACATACTTCATGTGGAGTTAATTCGTGCTATGTACAGTCAACCTCGTATATCGAGATATGTGCGGTCGGCCGCTGGAAACACCAGCGAGTTCAGTGTGGCTGTAGGCTTGCATCAGGGATCGGCTTTAAGTCCGTACCTCTTTTGTTGATAATGGATTCCTTGACGTCGGAGATACAAGAAGAGGCACCCTGGTGCATGCTATTTGCAGATAACATTGTGCTCGTTGGTAAGGAGGGGGCTGGGATACAGAGTAGATTGGTGATGTGGCAGTAAAAGCTAGAAAGAGGGGGCTTAAAAATTTGTGTTTCCAAAACGGAATACATGTTTTGTGATTTTGGCGGTCTTTCCGGATCTGCAGCCATATCACTAAATGGAGCTCCATTACCGATCTGCTCCAATTTCCGGTATCTAGGTTCTCTCCTCCAAAGCAATGGTGAATTAGACAGGACCATAAAGCATAGAATTAACGCAGGATGGATCAGAGGTGTGACTCGCGTGTGGGGAACACGCGAGTGAAAATTTACAAGACCATGACCCGGCCTGCTGTCTTGTATGGATCGTAAAGGCGACGGATGAAAGACGACTGCATGCAACTGAAATGAGAATGTTGAGGTTGATGTGTGGTGTGACAAGAATGGATAAGATAAAGAATGAATACATTAGAGGAAGTATGAAAGTGGCACCGGTGTTAGAGAGGTTGAAGGGTAATCGTCTATCATGGTATGGACATGTAATGCGTAGCAACGAGGATAATATTTTAAGAAAGGTGTTACATATGAATGTGGATGGTTATAAGGGCAGAGGAAGGCCGAAAAAGAGATGGATGGACTGTGTGAAAGATGATAAGAAAGGAAATAAATAACGCGATGACTGCGAACAGGGATGAATGGAAGCGAAAAACATATTACGCCGACCCCAAATAAATGGGATAATAAAGAAGCAGATAGTAGTAGATAAGAAAAATAAAAATAAAGTTTTTAAATAATTAAATTCTATATGGTACATTTGGAATTGTGTGATGATGAATGAATGATGAATTATAATGATGAATTAACTATATAAATACAATTGGTTTTGCAAGGACATGAGCATTTATCTATGTATAATATATAAGAAATCTATCCTATGGAATACCCATATTAACATCAATGTTTTAGGTCAATGTTCCTAAAAAGCTTTACTTATTCCGATCAGTGATTATAACATTGCGGATGCGGATTTCAACCCGAGCCGCAGCGAAGGCGAGTAGAGCTGAGTGTGTAAAAATACGTACATATACGACGTTTTCCAACGCACATAATTGTAAACAAACTCTTAACTTAAAAAAATTGTGATGCACACTCTTGCTTATCTGTCTTTTTCCTTTTTTTTTAATCAGCGCGTTGCCTACTGGCTGGCGCCGCGAGGCGATTAATTTTTAAATTCAGAAAGTAACTACCGCAGTTATAGTGAAGTTATATTCCATAACTGCTCGGCGTTATATACGCAAATGCGTATATAACGCCGCGTGTTTTTATCAGCCGCTTGACTCGCATCACTCGAAGCGAACCTGTTGAAAAACACGCTCACACATTTATAAAGTATTTAATAGGGGTGTGTGGTGTGTGCAGTGTTTAGAAACGCGTCGGGGGTGCTCCGCAACGCGTCGTCGGCGGGCGAGTACGCGCGGCGGAGGCTGCGCTGCCTGGCGGGGCTCACCGAGGCGCTGCTGCACGCAGTGCGGGCCGCCGTGCAGGCCAACGCCATCGGCACCAAGATCGTGGAGAACTGCGTCTGTGTGCTCAGGAACCTCTCGTACAGGTCACTCTCACACTCACCCTCACCCTCGTCGTCCTAGTGACCCTCACATAGTAAGCTGCGTGCCTGGCGGGGCTCACCGAGGCAGTGCTGCACGCGGTCCTTTACTCGGTCTCCTACGATATTCTTAATATTTTTATTTTTTGATTTTATTTATTTATTTGATACAGAAAACATGTGTACTAATTTACTGAAATAACGATGATATTCAAAGAAGTATAAAACTGTTGCGAATATCGACGCCCTCCATCTAGTATATATAATTCCAAAAGCTACAAAACGAAAAAAAAACATGCATTGTCGTTACCCATCACGTACCTATTGTCTAATAAAATTTGAATAAATATGATAATGTATTTGTGCTCTGGTCGTTAGACAAGAAACTGAGCATCCATAACATAAAATTCATTATTTAATTAATTTACATGGTACACACCACTTAACATTTGACTGCTGAATCTGATATAAATACCGTGTATTTGTTAACGTACTTATATATGTATTAGCGAGTTTGTTATATCATGTTAGTTTGTTTGATTTAACGCTTGAACTTTACATGAAATACATATATGTATATACCACTCGCATTTCCAAACTTTTGTAATGAGATTTAAGACATCTGATTCTACACATTTCTTAATATAATATATTTATTACGGAAGAAAAAATAAGCATATATTTCATCTTCTGTAATAAATCTAATAAGTTACATATTTTTATTTCTTCATTTAACTCTTACATATCGCATCTATATATTTTTTTTCTTTTATAGATGTCAAGAAATTGAAGATCCATTCTACGATACGAGAGCACCACCCACACAGTCATCAGGACAAGCCAGAATACAAGCTAGTGCTTCCAAAGGCAAGTAATTGTAAAACTACGATAGAATACAAGAACTAGATTAAATTTGGAATAAAAAATATATTTGTTATGTCGTGATTGAAATGAACATGCGATTTGTTGTAGACGTAGTTAGTCTTTTACATAATTGTAATTGTAATTATCATTGAAAAAGAAATTATATTTATTATTCCTTAATCACATTTCATAATGTTAGTGTTTCATATTAGTCATGTTTTGATGAATAAAGAACAACCTTGTCCTTAGAATGATAATGCTCGTAAATGCTTGTACAATATGTTTTGGAGTTGTATTAACATAATTCACGCAATGATTTAGTTTCATTTTATAATATTTCGCTTTGTTTATTCAACAGGCGAGAATCTCGGTTGTTTTGGTGGCAGTAAAAAGAAAAAGGAAGGTTCATCATCATCAAACTCGACCAGTCCGCTCGGGAAGAGTGAACCAGACAACCAACCATTAGGAGATACTACGCCCGACCCACAACTTGGGTACAGTGTACCCAAGGGCACTGAAATGCTGTGGTCTCCAGAGGTTAGTAAAGTACTGAAGAAAATTAAGCAGATGAAATAAATAATAATAACGCCCTACAACTCACACAGCGCCATCTAGTCCCAAGCTAAGCAGAGCTTATGGTAGAGAACTGATATAAACAGATTTAGTTTTTTCATAAATACATACATAATAATAATAATAATAATAATCTCAGGATAATTCACACAGCGCCATCTAGACCCAAATTAAGCTAGCTAAAGCTTGTGTTACTAGTACTCGATAACTAATACAAATACTGCATACAAACATAGATATTTTGTTTTTGTAAATACATTCATATTATACATAGAAAACACCCAGACCGATACAAACAATTATACTCATGAATACAAATGTTTGTGCCGTGTGAGGAATCGAACCCGCGACCATCGGTCGTAAAGCGGTGTCCTAGACCGCTAGACCACCGAGGTCGTCAAAATAATATACATAGAAAACAACCCAGATCGATCTGGGTCTTTTCTATGTATATTATACAATACGAACAATCATACTCATGAATAGAAATATTTGTATCGTGCGAGGATTTGAATCCTCGAATATTGGAAGTAAGGCGGTGTGCTAAACCGCTAGACCACTGAGACAGTCAAATCACATTAAATATTTCTTATAGGTTGTACCGTTATATATGGCACTGTTGCAAACGTGTTCCAACCCGGAGACGCTGGAGGCAGCAGCTGGAGCCCTGCAGAACCTCGCTGCTTGCTACTGGCAACCCTCCATAGACATCCGCGCTGCAGTCAGGAAAGAGAAGGGTTGGTCACCTATTTATATTCTGATTTATATTGTGCATTGTGTCATTTACAGTGAAATAAACGGAGAGTTTAAAATTGTAATACATGATCACTAAATTCTTTTTAAAATTCCTATACATATAGGAATTCTTATACCTATAGAATTTAGTTATCATGTATTACAATTTCAAACTCTCCGTTGTAGTATAAAGAATACTTATTATTTATTATAAATATGGCTAATCTCTTGTAAACAGAATGATACAGAGCAGCTAATAGGCATAAGATAAATGTAGTGACTAAGGTTTTTAAGGAAAATAGCGAGTGTACCAATGAGGAATAAAGAAGAAAATATTATTTAATTTACTTACGTCTCCACTGCATTTACAAGTGCTATAGTAAGAGACTGATAAACAGTCTCTTACTATAGCACTTGTAAATGCAGTTTAATAGATATTAATATATTGTGTATTGGATGATAATGAAATGGTGCACCCGCTTGTGCTAAGGGTATACGCTGGCGGGGAATCAGGCCAGTTAGCCCATCATTCCACCAAATTCATCAGAAATTAACCAGGGGAAACTGTGGATGTCGACCTGACATGGTGAATTGTTAGCAATGGGGTTGCTATTCCTCTAACAATACTCTTTCCCCACGCAGAACGTATTAAAATTGCAACATCGCTAAAATTATAAATTAATTGAAATCACATAGAATTGTATGTGTCGGTGTGTAGGACTACCAATCCTGGTAGAGCTACTGCGGATGGAGGTGGACCGCGTGGTGTGCGCGGTGGCGACGGCGCTGCGAAACCTCGCCATCGACCAGCGGAACAAGGAGCTCATCGGGAAGTACGCCATGCGCGACCTCGTGCAGAAACTGCCCAGCGGCAATCAACAGCACGATCAGGTACCCACTTTCCACATGCTACCAATACGAACTCGATTGAATGTTTGGAACCTTGTCTATAGTGTAATAGAAAAATTGTACAGATTTTGTAAACAAAATATAGGAATGCATTTGGTAATGATCGTCGATGACTTCATTATAACGCGAGCGGCATTAAAAAAAAATAAAAGGGGTGTCCCACATTTGAGTAATTACTTTGAACCTATTGTATTGTATGTGCATGTATATGTATCTGCAAAGCAATTTGTGGGCCACTATTTTTTATTTACGGTTTACATATTATAGAAACTACTTTTCAACTTATATTAGAAAAAAAATACATGTAAAGTACGCTCAGTTATGGTTCTAGTTAAAAACAAGAAAATTGAATTTCTACAATCAGTTGCCAAAACGAATTAATTTATTGTACGTACTCAGGGTACATCCGACGATACGATAGCAGCGGTGCTGGCGACGTTGAACGAAGTGATCAAGAAGAGCGGAGAATTCTCACGGTCGTTGTTAGAAGCGGGTGGCGTGGAGAGGCTGCTTAATCTCACCAAGCAACGCCACCGTCATACGCCACGTGTTCTCAAGTTTGCCGGTATGTAGTATATTCTAATAATTATATATTAGGAGATAGGTAATAGGTGAATTAAAAACCTTGTACCTATTTTTATGAAATTTACGAGGACGGACGTATCAAATTTCGCACACTTATAATTTATACAGAGAAGAAGTGCCGAATGCAATGGTTTTTTTTAAATTATGCATAAAAAATACATTAAATGAATAAACGAACATTACACACACTACCGTATTATTGACATAGACACGCATATATACTTTTTAGTTTATTGCTAAAGTCTGTGGTCTAATTGAGAGTAGATTAATATAATTTGTCTATAGTCTTTGTTAAATTAATTATGGTTGAATGTCGACCACCAGGCGACCAAGTGGTCGCCGGTCGTGGTGGTGATTAAGTAATCATTCTGTAATTCAATCATTATAGGCATACGTAGTATTTTTCTTGTAGCACCAACTTTCAATGTCTGAAAGGTTTATCAAAGGTAGCTATTTTGAATTTATCAAAGGATTGATTTTGAATTTTTAAAAGATATGTTTCGATATATTACTGTAGATTTTGAGTTCTACAAATGAACTTATAAACAATATACTACAATAATTATAATGATTGTAAAATACAGGTCAAGTTCTAATGACGATGTGGTCGCACGCGGAACTTCGGGAGGTGTACCGCAAGCACGGTTGGCGCGAAGCGGACTTCTTAACGCCCGCTCGTGCTGCACAGCCTCGGGGATCCTCCAACAGTAGCGGTCAGTACATAAATATATCTCTGATTAATATAAATTAAACTCTATGATCATGAACAGTTAGTTTTAAGTTATATATTTCGTATTTTCATATTAATATGATACTATAGAAGAACTTTTCCGAAAGATTAAAGTCGATTCTTGAAAATCGTTTCTAAAGTTAAATTAAATTTCCATGGTATTTGGCTGTTTACCTTAAAAACTAGTATGAGACACAGTTACTTAGATACTCCAAGGTAATTGTACCGTATTATATATAAATGGTCTCGACCTACAACATCGTATTACTATCTCTCAGTAATAGTTGTGATTTCTGATTAAATAATATTTGTTTAGTAGCATACCGTTCTCGTCCTTGATGATGAATGCATTAAAATAAAGTCTTTAGAAACATTCCAATGAGTCCAATTTCTTGTAAATATATATTTTTTCCTCGCTACTTATGTAAATGTTGTCGTGTACAGAATGTATTCATATATTGTGTTCATATGATAACCATTTCATGCTCACTGCTATGAGAACATTGATCTAACTGATAACTGCCTAATACAGTAACAAGTACTCACAATTAATTCTTAATTAAGACATTAATGATTATTAAATTAATACATGTCTTAAATACACTGTAATATTGTCGTCACTTATGGTAAAAAACAGTATTGAATATTTTAAAGAAACTAATATCTTTGCATTTTGGATTTTAATTCAGTTTTATGTATAATTATTAACTGATCAGGTCCCTCCACTGTCTTACCTACCTAAGCTAATCTTGGTGGAAATGGTCGGTAAGATGCGTACACATTAATAGAGAAAAGGCGCATTCAGAGCAAGAAAATAGTCAAGATATACTATGTACAATAGTATACAATCTTTCACAATATATATATATTCATTGGCACACATTTTTGCAAACTTGAAACATTTTAGAAAGTGACTGATAAATTACTTACGTCAAAATATTTTTTATTGCGCACATGTGTTGCCAGTAGAATGTTATGAAATCATTATTAAGAACGATTTTTTTTTCACTCATTTGGCTGTTTCCTTATCCTACTTAATAAAATATGTAAAAATTGTACTTTCCTAAGTCATATAGAGTCAAAATCCTTATAATTTTATTCTCGCCAACTCTGGTAAAAATGGCTTTGCTTGTATATAGTGCTTTCTTTTGATTGTTTTCTTGCTCGGAATGACTTTGGTTGAATCACAGAGGACTATATATACAGAGAAAAGCATTTCAGTCACTGCTCATTCTGGAGAATTGTAACTATTGTATCCATATCATAACTGCGATTTGTAGTGTTGATATCCGATAATTTTTCACAATAAGTCCTATGGAGTGGTAAATATTCACAATATTTCAGCTAATGTACCACTTACCAGCTTGTTTGCCATTCTGGGTACAAAAAATAAATATGTGGCTAATACTAATTTCCAGACTGAGCCGGTGCTCAGGTTTCCACTCTGTTGTATATGTAGTGTTGTGTGAGTGTACATTGCACGGTGGTTGTTGTGGGGGCAGCAGGGCAGGGAACGCCGTCGTCAGCGGCCAGCGGGGCTCCGCATTCGCCCAGCAACGCCAACAGCACGCTCAGCCGGCCCATGGCCTCCACGGGCGGCACGCGCTACGAGGACCGCACCATACGCAGGCATCGGGAGGTACAACGCACCCTCGCGCTTTGACGGCCGCATGTTGTCAGAAAAAGAAAATCTTAGGCCAAAAAAACTGTATATCTATTTATTTCAGATTTATTTATACATAAAATAATATATTTGTGTAAAATTATATTTTATAATATATATGTAGATATTTATAACGAAAGTGCCACCACCTAACTTGTCTCTGTACAATCGTCCTGTTGGACTTTTATAATAAGTCTATCTTTATTTAGCACATTACAAAATAATTTTCCATTCATATTAAATTAAAAAAAATGTTCCATTATTTACTTATTTTATGAAACACTTCAAAGCGTAGATTCTGGTTGTGACTGCAATTTTTGACAACATGCGACCGATGTCATTCAAATATCAATAAGCTTATGACAGCGGCACAGTATAAAGGCGTTTTACACTTACATTATTCTGCTGAATTCTGTTGCTTATTCTATTATATATTATATGGTAAAGTATACAGTGACCCCTTCACCCTTCAGATAAGCTCTTAACAATATTTATGAATCCTCATTGGGGTGAAAGCATAAAAAACACCATCATATCGTGCCGCTAGTTTAAATAAAATTGAAACTAAAAAGCCGAATCGATGCCAATAAATGTGACACCATTTGTAAGCGACACCGTCATCGGGCGTTGCTTGCTTCTCTTTCTATCTCACTCATAGTTCCCAAATAGCGGGTGTAAGATGATAAAGAAATAAAACATAGTACAAGTTCAAATTTATTGGCTCAGCGTCCTCTAATTTGCAATAAGCTTAGCGCTGCTAATATATGGTCTAATTTATTTTTCCTCTTTGTGTGTTGTTGAAGAGTTATTTGAATTGAATGGAATATTCAATGGCCATTTGTAAGTACAAGGATATACAAATGTAATATACATAAACCAACATAAAATTGCACTACCTACTAAAATGTATTTCATATTAATAATCTATTAATACGTGATAAAGAGGCATGCTTCATACACATAATATGCAACTTACTGTATATAATATTATAATTCTTGTTACGGAGTTATAAATTCCGAAGTGGATAGTTATAAAGGTAGAGTTACATTTAAAACGAGACGAATGACCTGTGTGAATGATGTAATCGCAAGAAAGGGAGTGAATAGACATATGAAAGCGAACAGAGATAAATAGAAGGTAAATAAAATATTTCGCCTAATCCCAAAAGATATGGGATAAAAAAGGAAACGATGAAGCCGAACAATTGCTACGCTAAATTGATAAAAAGGGCTTGTTGTACTAAAAGTATTAATTCACGATGTATTTACAGAACGATGACATCCCAACGATGGACGTGAACAACTATCAAGACGGACTCGGTATGGGCAACCCCAACGGGCGGCCTATGAATCTGCAGGGCGTGCAGGCACAGATGCCGCCTCCGAGCAGTCGTTAGTATGCAGTAGGTGAGCCTCGACTGGCTTAGAAAGCGGTGGCCATCATTTATACGAATGTCGTTGAGGTCTTCGCGAGGAGTCTGACCTCTACAACAGGATATTTATAAAATTACCCTAAAAGTCATGTATGGTTATCAGTTTTACTTCTGACTAATAAATAACGTTTTGTCTCTTTCTTTTAAAGCATTATTAGATATTATCTAAATATATTTCAATTTAAATAGAACTGCAGGTATGACATGTCAATTAGTTGATATATGCCTCTCAAAAAAATCGAATATTAAAGAATGTCGTGAAGTAAAGAATTTTCAGGAAAGTATTATCAATTTAAACAACAAGTCATATGTAAAAATCATATTAATGATATTGGTTGATATTAAATATCTGATATTGGATATGTTTAGGTAACATGATATTGTTAGGTAATTATTTATTAAAATCCTGTGTTACTTTCTGAGATATCAGTAGTAGCTGGAAGTTTATTATTAATAGGGAACTTTAATCTTTTCTTGTGGTGGTAACGGAGGTTAAAAATGCGCTTTACACGAAATATAATACAGGGAGGGAGTAATATGAACGGAATACAGTTACATTGTGTAGTAGTACAAGTGTTATACGAAATTAAACCTTTTATGATTTGTAGACGTACTTTCGTATACAAGTCGTAGTGTAGACATAACCGTACAAAATAAAAATAGTAAGACATTTATATTATTATGTCTTAAACAAGTTTTCTACAATTACATTTATACTTCGACTTGTTAACGAAAGCACAAAAGTCGAGTTTATAATATCCTTACAATTCATAGTTTTCTTATAATCATTATTGTTTTAGATGCAGCTTGTTTTGTAAGATGTATATAATACATTATCAAATTTATAGGATCTACCTTGGTCAATCTATACAAATTAGGATGCTATTGTTAGTTGAATAGCTAGGGAAAATCTAGTCTCATGATTCTATTCTATATATCTAAAATATACATAAGATCATATATACCATCCTATACATATGATAGTGTAATATATCTACAACAGTTGTAAGTAATACATCTACTACAGATGGTCGTAAGTTATACACGGTACAATACTAGACTGGAATTAATTTTTACACAAAAAAATGAACGACACCATGCAATGATCTATTATTTTATATTTTAGATCATTGTGTTGAATTTGTCTTCATTCATTCAAATTAACCAATTAACATGAAGCTTATGGTAACTGCGCCGGCGCAGTATTCCTCGCGAAGTCGTATTAGATGAGAAGTATTTATTATTCACAGGTACTTATGTTATAGTTAGCGTATTTGTAATTTGCCTATTGGTAAATCTGGTGGTTTTGCTCATGATAAAGTAAATTTCTGTTAGTGATATCACTAGTTGAAAAGTCCAAATATCCATATATTAAAGTTTATTCTAATAGTGTTCTTTTACATGTCATTTATGTTTTTATTTGTATATTGCAAATAAAGTTTTAATTTATCTTATATCTATTAATATTACTACTAAAAAAATTTTGTCACAAGATACAGTTGTTGTACAAACTTAGCACAATTTACTTATCGCAGAATAGTTTGTTTGTTTTTGTTTGTAACACTTTAATGTACAATAGAAATTATTAATAAAAGAAAACAATCGACTTAAAGAATAAGTACGTACAATGGCGGATTTTTCCAAAAGAGTAGTATGTGTTGTCTCTTTCTATCTCAGCCGCGGTGTTATAATATTGTTGTCAGTTTGTTTTTTTTTTCAATAGGACCTCTAGGACCCAGTGACTCATAGAAAGACCAGTCGTTCAATGACGTGACTGGCATAATATATTACGTTCAATTTGGATTCCGCTGCTAGTGACATTGTATATAGAAATTTTCTTTGTTATAGGAATGAATTAAGGCTAATCAGACATGTCGACATCTGTACATGTTTAGTTTTTTTTAAATTTTATGTTACCATTTTCAATGTAATCACAACAGCCGTATAAAATATGTTTAGTTGCTGACATGTGTGATATGTACCTTATTGTACAGTCATTCACAATAATTTCCCGTTAAATATTGATGCTGTTACTCTGATTAATGCGATATTTCGTCTAATAGTAAAAATTGTCTGATGTCTTGATATGTATAAAAATTATTTATTGTAATTAACAATAGACATTGTTACCATTGGCGAATATTGTATTTATAATATTGGTATGACTGTACATATAATTGTTTAGAGACTTAATAATGCTGTCATTTTGTGGAAATTGTACACTGGACACGTGACTACGTTGTTTACTAAATGGGTACTATTAAGCTTCTAAATGATAGGCTCATTTATGACCAAAAGGCCTAACATTTTTTTTATACGCCGCCATTTTATTCATGATGCGAACATGTCAATTCCAAATGTATATACTCGTGCCATTCGTGTATCTTTTAAATATAAATAAAAAACGGGATTTTCATGTAGTGTTGTCTAATGAATTTTCTATTTGATCGAGGCTCATCGAGGTTGCATGCATTATGTCATTCGTTATTAATAATCGCCGTTTATGTATAGACACCATAATGGAATATATACTATTTGTGTCGAATAGGAATCGCACGATGTATTCTTAATAATCTCTAATTATAACGATATAATAACTAAACAAGTTAAATGCAATTTACATATATAATATTCAGGATTTGAATATTACTGTTATTATTTATTACGACAGTTATGTAGTAACCACGTAGCTGAGTGAGTATGTCGAGGAAAGTTCTCGAGTTTTGTCACGTTACGACGCCGTTCGCGAAACGAGTACGGGTAACACGGTTTCGTTCGATTTCAAACGCTACGGCTGAATAGTTTAAAGAAGAATTTTGTAATATTTTGTATCCATTCCATGACCCTTTATGAATAATTGTAATATAGTCTATGTCCTCTTATTATATTAAGGAATATCCGTCTTATATTTAGCGTTAAGATGCATTAATCATGGGACGTTGTGTGAGCTCTGGAATGATTCGTTTTTTGGCGACGCATTTTTAAAGACAGTGCAATATTAATTGGGTACCCCTACTATAATGGTGATGATACACTATATGAGAATGATGAATGAAAAACAAGTGAGAAGCATTTAGTTTTTGCCTCTTTATTGCACGATTTTATAAAAAGGATCATGATTTATAAAGAAATAAAGTACAAAAGTAGGTCTTAACCAGCAATAAACAGTATTAAATGTACAATCAAATTTTAAGTTTGTGTGTTTTCTATTAATGTGGTATTTCATTTAGTGTAATACAGGCGGCCGTAGATTATAATAACCGCTTATTACAAGATTATCGCCTGCTTTTTGTGACCTAAGTTATTTCATTATTACAATTAGAGTGAAAATGTATCGACTTAATGTAGTAAGGGTGCCGCAAATAGACTGGCATTATTAATTCCACTGATATGTCTTAACGTCGACACTAGGCTACAGTGCAGCTAAATCATATCTACGTGTATTTACGAGCGTCGCTGATCTGCACGTACGTGATACGGTTACGCCATTTGTCACAAGATACCAAGTGCAGTCAACTCTAAAAGTGGGCGCAATTTATTTTAATTACTTTTAAAATTCACAGAAATTTCTATATAACTTAACTTTATTTAAAAGTACAACATTGGAATTTTAGTTATAAGGTTTTTAGTGTCTGGTGAGATTTTATTAAATTATTTTATTATTATGTGAATTTCTTGAATTTTTAATTGATATAAAATAAAATGCTACTTGATATTTTGTTATCTGTCGAATATTAAAATGTTTACTCATTTTTGTATGTTGACGCAGTAATTACGCCACCAGCAAAACTTTGACAGATGGCGCCACCGTCCTCGCATCGTACCCATGAGCATGTTATTGTGAATGCAGCTTTAAGAATGTTTATTTCGGTTGATTTCCCTCCGTCATCGGTTTTAGTTTGTAGTGTATTTATTTTATATTAACTTGTAAGATTTAAATTTTATTAGAAAGTAATAAATATAAGGGTTTTGTGAGAACATTTTTTGGATATATTTTTATGCACAATAATGCATTTCTATACGTCCGCGGCAGGATGACTTGACTGAGTAACCTGGTACAAACTACCTTCATCCAGTGCATTATAATGATTTAAGTACTCATCTATGTAAGTTTTTGTATCATATTTTTATTATAATGTAAGCAAATGTACAACAGATCACACCATATGCTTGCCAGGGCGTCGTCGCTTCTATGAAGCGAATATAATATAATTTTTCATTCAAGTTTTCCCCCGTGTATTAGGGTTTTGAAAGTTATTTAATCACCAATTTATTTTTATTTATAGTCTTTTAAATGTGAGTATTAGAAAATGGTAGGCTTAGATATATTGTTTAAAAAGTATAAATATCTTTTTAGAATATCATTCGGTTTATGTACGTAAACCTTGTATAGTGAATCTATATATTTTATTTCATATTTTTGTTTATTAATAATACTGACTTTATGCAGATCTCTGGAACTTTCAAAATTATTTTGTTAGTTGTTGTAGTATCATCATAAATTTATCCAAGAACTTATCTAGTGTTACACCACGGTTTAAAAATATATTAATGTCTATGGTCTACCATGGACCATAGTGTTGTTGGAACAGTAATACTCGATTATTTATATTTTATTTAAAATTTTATATTGAAAATTATTTAATGTAATGCGTCTTCGTTTGTCGTTGCGACAGTATATTAGTATAATGTAATAGTTCTTATGTCATGTTGTATGTAGATTTTAATAGAACATTATTCACTCTTGCATAAAGATACTTATGATTAAAGAAATATTATTATCACAGAGAATTAAATGAATGATTTTTTTAATTTTGTTTTTTTTTTGTTTGTCCTTGCGTTTATCCTTTCTTTACGTTTCTTTTTTATTTATTAAATATATACAAATGTGTTAATATGTGTCTAAGTAAATGTTTGAAAGCTTGTTGTATTAGTTGGGATGATTTGGTATTTCTAAAATGACGAAATTTCAAAGAGATTATAAGATTGTGTGTATTTATTAACGCTATGTAACTTTTACTAATGATTAGTTTACTTTGTATAATGGCTTCCAATTTATTTATCATTGTTTTTTATTTAAGTAGTTTTCCCACACAATTTTCTAGTTAATATTAGGTATTTTTTACCGACTATTGATATTGGGTACTAGACAATGTTGTAGTAATATGTACAATTATTAATTATTATTATTATTATATAGTAAAAATACGATTTTTTATCTGTTATACTTACCGTGTCACAAACGAAATGGTACAACGTTGAGTTCGTAACGGAATCACTTATTAGATTCCATGTTTTTGTGTGAATTATAAAAAAAAAATCTTGTACTAATCGAAATTAATTATTAAGTGAAATTTCCTATTTGTATGAATGCTCACGTTTTATATTTATCAGTAGTGTCCTTAAAATTAATCAGTTATTGAATTTATAGATGTAATAGGCGTGTTAACCGATATGGGGTTAAGTATTAGGGCATGCACGGTTATGGTGATATAATTATATAGGTATCCTTTTTTACTCGTACGACTGTACATGATACAGTGATGTTCTGTTTGCGGACATAATTACACAACAGTATTATTCAGTAATCTCATGTACCAACGTTGCTAATACACTTACCTACATTTAAATAATGATGAGAGTTTTATTTCCCATATTCCCAATCCTACCGAATGCAAAAACTGGACTGGCTGGACTGATTCGAATGGGAATTGGTGCTCAAATAGACCTTTTATAGAAGAAAGAAGATTTAGATAAAGTTTACGCGTCCATAAACTTTCTAACCAATCTATATGAGCAGTGAAGGGGTACAGGTAATTTGTTATAAAACTGCATTACTATAGTGTTTATCGCGGCTGTACTTGCGTCGAATTAGTTCTCGACCTCATGCAATTTCAAATATGCAAAGTTTACGTCCTGTATTAAATTATTAAAAACAAATTTGGAAAAATCTAGATGTTAACTATTATATTATAAAATTATTAATATTATAAACGCTAAAAGTTTGTATGTATGGATGTATTTATAAATTTTATGCGGATGAAACCGCGGGTACCATTATTTCTAACTACATCTAGTGTAGTTAGAAATAATGGTACGGTTAAGTATTTTTAATTTTTGAAATAGATACATTAATACTAAAACTTCGTAGACTAAAATAGGGGCGACTGCAGAAGGAACTCGAAACATGTGGAAGGACTCATGGAGCGGCTGAAGATCAACTCCTGCCTGATGAATACGACTCTAGTTTGAGAGTACCGATTGCGATATAAACCTTGGCGACCGATTGGAAATGTCTAAATTTAAAAAATCCAAAGGTATTCTGTCTGGATTGACAAATACTCATTATACCACCTGTATTTCGTGAACGCAACCCTAGTTAAGTGATATGATTTATTACCGCAATTAGTAGGCACCTATTTGAGAACGGTATGTAGGTTGGGTTGGCCTCCAGAATTTGATTCACCTCTAACACTCGGTATCGTTTCTGTACGAAGGTGTGGCTGTTATTTATAAATTATTGCAATAGAATATAACATACCCGAACAATTACTTATTGCTTACTAGTTTTAGGTAAAACATGGTAATGGACGATAAGTACTTAAACAATGTAATAAAGACGCAGGTTCTGGGTAGTCTAGCGGTTTAGCACTCCGCCTTAGATATGATGGTCGGGGATTCGATTCCTTGCATATTGCGAACATTTGTAGTCATAAGTATGATTGTCTGTATAAGTCTGGGTGTTTTCTATGTATATGTATATATTAACAAAAAATGGTTTAAGTAGATTTCTATCATTTAGTATCTACCCTTAAAAAAGGTCTGCTTAACTTGGGAACTTAGCGCGGTAAATTGTCCGAAGTTTTTATTAAAGACGAGTTGATTATGATTTCATTTATGTTTCAATTTATTGTAACTTTATTTTTATTATTTTTAAGCGTTCTAATTGTGAATCAAAGTGCTGGCTGGAGACAAGTACAAAGGATGCAACTAGGCCTTCAACTCATCATCAAATTAGCCCGGTCGATGGATCCCTATACTCTTTCCTATTTCTGTCAGTATACTTCTTCGACTGAATACTGACAGATGAATGTAATATAACACAGGTTTCTTCTGCAGTTTGTAGTTGTAATATGCCATATAGACATAGATAACTAGAATGGCAAACAGTTGATGGCTCAACCAATGGGAAATGGCGAAAGTTTGCATAGATGGATGGATATTTGTTACTCTTTTTCGCAAAAACTACTAAACGGATTTTGATGATATTTTACAGGAATATTGCTAATACACTAGAAAAACACATAGACTATAGTTTAAAAATTATATTATATAAATTGGGCGACATATAACGACAAGTGAGATGCAGACGACGTTGAGTAGGTCAGCTAGTATGACATAATGAAGTAAATTTTGATTCACAGAAACTACAACTCCTACTTACTACTACGACATTTGTTCGATGAACATAGCTTTAAATACAAGCCTATTTAGATTTCTAAACGTATGTACATTGTTAACGTTTCTATAAATAACATCGACTGGCGCCATATTGTAACAAAATATTAAACAATAAGTAGGTGATAATTTTGTATAATTATCCAATTATCTTTGCGTACTTACTATGAAAATTAACAGACTTTAAATTATAATTAAGTAGGTAATTGTTTACTCTAAAAACTGGTCGATATATTCTAAATAAATATAATAAAATCTTGGTCTATAAGTAGGCATAATTCACATTTATATCATAAAATATATCATATTCTGTGTACTTTAATTCAGTATGTGATAGTCATGGGTTATCGATTGTGTAAAGAATAATAAAAATCGATGCAGTATTAATTTTTAAGAAGCATTGGACTCGACTGTACATATTGTAGTATATAAAGTCTTTGGTTTTTTTTATTTATAACGCTTGTAGTGGCTGTTTATAACGTACTCTGTGCATTTTATAGAATCGGAGTCTGTATTGTGGCGGGAACGTCCAAATTCAATGTGTAGGGTGAATTCGTTTTTTATTTGAATTAATATTGAAATACAGTAGGGTGACGGCACCAATTATGGACATTTTAAGCAGACGATTTCTTGTTTCTTTGAATAACATCAGATTTTTTGAGTGAACATGGATGACAGTTAGTAGGCAAATATATTAATAAACAAAGAATACAGTAAACTTACTACTGTTTACTACAAACCGATACATTTTGCAAAAAAAAATAGAAAAAATAGGAGATCGCTAAACCCCAGTGATATACATCTGAAATCTAGTAATGGACACCCAATTATGGACTATCCCTGAACTATGTATCCCCAATTAAGAACATCCATTTATGGACACAGAATATGTATTATCAATAGTATTGACAGGAAATTAAATAAAAGTTTGTCAAAAGGAAGATGGATTAAATAAAAACATTGTTACTTTCAGTCTTTAATCATTCGACTTTTCAAAGTAGGCTTTTCAGTCTTTAGCAACTTACCCATAAAAGAAATATTACGTACTCTTCATACTAATAAACATAAATAATTTAATATAAAAGAATTCCACTTCAAGTTTAACTTTCATTTATAAGATATCTTAACTCTTTGCTAATAAAACTAATAAACAATTTAATATAAAACAATTCCACTTCAAGTATACTTCAATATATATAATAGATACAAATCGGGTAAATATTTCCCCATTTCCTTAATTTTGAAAAATCCTCTCTTATTTAAAGGCAAAGGGTCACTAATAGATTCCACAATAGAAGTTTCGAATTCGGGTATAATGCTATTATCTCTATGCCATGTTCTGAACAATAATTTGACAAATGCAACGTTAGGTGTGATTTATGTCCATCTAAGAAAAATACAACAGGCTTTTTTATGTTTTCCTGTTGTAGCCAAGGATCGAAAATATTTGTGATAAATTCATAAAAGGTGCTTCCGCACATCCACCCCGATTCTGATTTTCCTATTCCCCAATCACCGGGAACGCTCGCTGATATGTGCGCCGGTACTCTTTCATATTTGAAAACAATCATAGGGGCAGCAAGGTGTCCCGCAGCATTAGCTGTTACAAGAACAGTAAGGTTCTCTTTTTCGTCTCCACTAAAGTTATAAAGGTGTTTTTCACCCCGTTTGCAAAGCACTCGGCCTGCTTTTGGTGACAAAAAGAAAGCACTTTCATCAGTATTAAAAACTCGGCTTGGATCTTTCAAAATGTCTTTGAGGCCTCTTTGTTCTAAATATGACTCGATTTCAGAAAACCATTTTCGCAAAGCTTCTTCACACACATCGTCTCTCGATTTGGAAAGATTTTGCGCGGTTTTCTCGACATCTGGGTGCCTCTTTAAAAAAGATTGAAACCATTTTTTCCCTGGCTTATTATTAGTAAAAGGACTAGGTCTCCCTTGCTCGACAATTATTTTTTGTACGCTTTCCATTAATAATTCACGATTTACTGGAAAATGTTTTTCGCTCATTGCTACTAACCATTTCACTAAAATGTCTTCTTCGGCTTTTGAAAGAACTGTTTGTGGCCCCATTGCACACTCCAAAGGACTTTTGCCCGATATTTTATTATATAGTGTAATACGCGGAACAACCTCTTTGCAGCCGTAGCAATCTTCTCTCCCTGTCTGACTGCTTCAACAGCTTGCCCCATCTGCTCAGAGGTGTAATCTTTTTTTGGCGCCATCTACGAAATCCAGTGGTACCAATTATAGACACAAAAAAATATCCAATCTTGGACACATGTTCATTACTGGTAGAAGTTGTCCAAAATAAAAATCACGACTAAATAAATAATTGTTATGACATAAAGAATTATTTTAAGCGACATTCTCACAAAATACTCTAAAAGTTAACTTTCGACACATGTCCATTACTAGAGGTTTCGATAATCTAGAAACCAGTAATGAACATCTCGTAAAAAATATTAAAATATTGAATCTACCGGTTTACGTTAATTTTAATTTTCTTTTAAAATCCTTTAACTTTAAGTAAAATAACATGATTGTACAGGAAACAACAAAGACGTTGAAGTAATTTTCAAAAAACAATACTCACTCTCTTAACGATTTTCACAATAAAAACAGATTTTTGTTTGCGACAACCAACACGACAAATTTAACGGTCAGCCATTTTGAAGCAAAATGGCCGTTTTCGATGACATTTGACATTATGACAACTAAAAGGTGGACGTTTGAGTTAAGGTGTTGCTGGAGCAAAAATAAGTGTGTTCTAGCTTAATATTTAATTATTATTTTTTAAGTGTCCATAAAAGGGTCTTGTTCATTATTGGTGCCGTCACCCTACACATATAATGCGTGATAAGTTTTAATTTTAAAGTTACATTTATAGTTGGTGTTCTCCAGAAGATGGTAGAACGCGGAGGAGGTCAGGTCAGTTACCGCTGGCGAATTCACCAGACATTAATCATAATTGTTTTCATGGTATAGTAGGTTGGTATATCGTTAGCAATAATAATAAGATTTAAATTCTAATTACCGTTTATCGTAAAATTAGTAAAAAGCTGAAGCAGCCCTGTGGTGCTAGCAATATTTTCAGGGTAACTGAAGCGGGATTGCAACATCTTGCCTCGTTTAAACGGATAACTGTTTAAGTTTTGCATTTTATTTTTTGCGCAATAAATAACGATGAACCCAACGGGCTAAGCTGCTAAATTAATTATCCTAGATCTGGGTTACGTTGAAATAAAAAAAAGTTATTTACATTATATCGTAGAATAAGTAACAAAATGAAGTTATTACGAAGTGAATTGTCATTTTTTGTGTACAGTGTTATCTTAGCTAATAAGTGACTTTTTTTTATTATTTTTCTTTTAATCAATATACCTACTATATTTTCATGTTGTCTTCGTATTTATTTTGTTACAATTGAAATCGTTGTAGTAGGAATATTTCAAATTATATAATCCTAGTAACTTCGGTTTATGTGACGTCTGTACTGATGATAACCTATATAGTCGACTATTAATTTATTTTCTGAGCATACATAATTTATGTTGTGAGTGTGTATAGATTATATTTAGGAATTAATTGCTAACACAAATTAGTAAACTATTAATGTAGTGCTATATCATCAATGTTTAAAACACGCGAAGATATAATTTCCCCAGTATGTATATAAAAGCAAAGGACAAAGGTTTTAAAGTACTGGGTACAGGTTGCGTTCCGGATTCCACCGCGAACGCCTATATATGCCATATTTTATTGATCCTGCGAGCCATAAATAAGCTGGTACATGGCTGTTTGTACAGTTAGCTCGGGGCACCATTAATCTGATCAGGATCTACGCCGACGATTACGTGCGCCAATAGAAGCCGCCATTAGATGGCGAGATGTTAAAATTACACTTCACTTGCGACTAAATATATATATACGGTAATATACTCTAATAATATAAGAGACGGGCACGATTCGATTCGCTGTACAATTTTCATGTGCATTTATTCTTCTTAGTTAGAAGTCCTAAATGAATAAATTATTTTTAATGATTATGATTTTTAAAGATGACGTAAAATAACCGTTTGTGATGACTGTACAGCCATCTGCACGGAGCTTGCTTTGTAAGCTGTCTTTTCATCCGAACGATGAGACGTGGCAGTGAAATTACACAGTTCGGAGTAATGAGGTATACCGTAGGCCAAGGACTAAGGTGTCATGCCTCATGACATGTACCACGGGCCTCACACAACGACATGGTACGTGGTATTTAATATTCTCTATATATAAAGGGGACGGTTATTGTTTTCCTGCTGATTCAATTTAATTCAAGAGCTAGATGGCAGAAATAGGTGAGACAAAGGTATACACGCAAACGACTTTGTACCATCCCATCCCAGTGACAATGTAATATCACCTTTAGATAATATTTCTTGTCTATAGATCATTGCGACTACTCCACGATTGCGTAACGAGACAATTCATAACTTACCTATAATATAAAGCCCGTTTGGAGACCAACGTGGGCGGTGAGTGGTATATAAAATGAAATATCGATATATTATGCGGGAGTTCCAACGTCTTAATTATCCTCACGCTAAGCCGTCAATATTCTCGACCATAGTGTTAATAATGCTTCATTTTTATAATTTTTCTCCTTACAATGTAATATAATACCCACTTAATTTCTTTACGCCTGTGAACAATAAGGAGTATTACTGTATTGCTTTTAGGGTTCCAGGTTCTTCTGCATTATGAATTCGTTACAACATACATCTACGAAGAACAGCTACTATTACAGGGACAAGTAGGGTAATAAAGCTGGAGTTTAAAGTCAAGTTGTTTGCCATTCCCATTATATAAAAAAAATATCTTCCACTGGTGTCACGCCAGGCCATTAGCGCAGGATATATGTAGTGACTTCACTAAATAATGACATATTATTCTAAATAAATACAAGTAATTGATTGTTATCCAAACAAACCGACAAAAAGCAACAATATACGGAACATAGTACTTGCATTGTATCTCAAAACGCGTGGGCGCCATTATTTCTGAAGACATCTTTATCACCGCCATTAGATGTGGCTTAAACGAATAATAAATACATTTTTAATACGCCTGAGTCGTTTATTGTGACCGGCCGAAGCTTGGAATGCTCTTTTATGGAAATTGGGCATTGTGGTCCCAGCGACAGTGTTGCCAAATGTTGGCCATGCGTTCAACACAAGATTTTGCTCAAATCCCCTCTAAAATTCAGAATAAAACCCCTAATAAAGAAAGTTTGTATTAGTAGGTTCTTCCATTTTCCAATTAATTAATAAGTAGTATAAACTAGCGTATAAACTCGATCGTTAGTAAGCATCTGCTGTTGGTTTCAAACATACGGAGCGAAATGTAAAGTGTTGTGCACACTACAACATTGACAATACCTCTGACTACACCAACTAGGATTCTTTTTTTATCTCCAGTAAGAATCTAAACATTCTCATTTTCCCACAGAAAACCACAACGAGACATATTTTTGACCAAGGAGCAAGACTATTACGTCCAGGAATAATCTGAGGGTAACCCAGCTGGAACAACGCGAGTTTCAAGATGTTCGTAGCCCGGTCCTGACCAATATACTGTCCACAATCCTGGGCGAATGAGTGATGCTATCGTGGCAGATTGCCGACTTCAGTGCCGTGATTACAGAGACGACTTATATTTATATTATTATTACATATGTAAGTTAGTCTATAAGGTATTTATAATAAGGGCCATTAGTAGCCTGAAATAAATAAATAATTCGATTATAATAATAGATTTAACCCCGAGTTTGGGAATAAAATCGCAATCTGGCATCACTGCACAGTACTGCGAGATGTGGTGAAAGGATTAATGCTTAACGAAATTCTGGATGACTTTATTTACTTCTATATTGTGAAAGTATGAATAGAGTAATGTGGTTTTTTACCCGATTGACCAAGAAAAGAGGACAATTTTCCGCATTTATATGAGTAGAATGTATACATTGTAAGATGCGTATAGTGGTGCAGATGAAAATAGTCAAGCAGTCATAAAAACACTATGGTTAGTGTTAATTCGTCATGATGAGCTAATTAACTTGTCAGACTATATCCTCATTTGTAATCGTCTTCGAATGTTACTACGATAGTGAGCCTATAATCACCATTATTAACAATTCCCCGCCAGTAGTATTTTTAATAGATGATACTGAAATGCTGCACCTGCCTGGACTGAATCGTCTCTCCAAGGAACACACTACGTTTGTTAGTACTCAAAAGGCGAATCGCGGAGAATGATCACGTCCTGGGTAAATTCAAATTCTGAACTCAAGATGTATTCGCGTTCGGAATTCCACGAATGGTGTCGGAGAAAACTTGAAATTTGAATGTGGAACGCTAAACTTTAGAAATGGCGGGACGAGACGAAGACGCTGCAACGGCTTCGCGTTGATGTAACTCGTGTTCGGTTTATTTTACGCAATAAAAATAGTGTAATAATATAGGTAGTTACTATAATTTATATTAAAATATGTATGATTAATAAATATATGTAATGTATAATTATGATAATCTATATATATATAAAAAAGGTGACTGACATAGTGATCTATCAACGCACAGCCCAAACCACTGGACGGATCGGGCTGAAATTTGGCATGCAGGTAGATGTTATAACGTAGGCTTCTGCTAAGAAAAGATTTTAATTAATTCTACCCCCAAGGGGATAAAATAGGGGATGAAAGTTTGTATGAAACTTTGTCAATTTTAAACCGATCGGGCTGAGACGTAGACATCCTATGGCTATAGGCTAGGCTATGATGTAGGCATCCTCTAAGAAAGGAGTTCGATAAATTTCACCCCTAAGGGTTAAATTAACGCGAGCGAAGCCGAGGGTAAAAGCTAGTCTTTATATAAAATTCTCGTGTTACAATGTTAGTTACCTTACTCCTCCGAAACGGCTTGACAGATTTTTATGCAATTTTTATGCATATTCAGTAGGCCTGAGAATCGGCTACTATCTATTTCTCATACCTCTAAGTTATGTCCAACCTTAACGCTTTTTTTTAT